TTTTCATTTCCCTGATAGCTAGAGATGTTGAACATTTTTTCATATATTTATTGGCTATTTATGTTTCTTGTTTTGAGAAGATTTTGTTTTGTTCTTTTGACATTTATGGATTGGGTTATTTGGTTTTGTTGTTGTTGTTTTGGTGTTAATCTGTTTGAGTTCTTTCTATATTGAGAATATTTATCCTCTGTCAGGAGCAGTAGCTGGCAAAGAATTTCTCCCATTATGTATGTTTTCTCTTCACACTCTTAATTATTTTCCTTGCTGTACAGAATTATAAAACAATTTTAAGTAATAGCACCCATAAAAATATATGGGGGTAAACCTTAAAGTAAGTATGAAGTATTATTTCTACTAAGGAACATAAACTGCAAATCTTTTGAGTAAATGAAAAGCATACTCTATATGTGAATGTATATGTTGAATATTATAAAGATGTTAGTTACCCACAAATTCAGTTTTTCCCAGGGAAAATTATAGTGATTTTTTTAAATGAAATGAGCTAATATGTAGCAAGAATAAATTTGAAAATAGGCAAATTATTCAAATAAGGAGTAATAGTCAATTATAGGTAGTTTGGAGAATAACAATTCTTACCAAAATGAGTAGAATACTGAATGTTATTAAACTTTTTAAAGAAAGCATTTTCATTCATGATAGCTATTTTTAAAAACTATATAATACCTACAAAAAACTTAACCAAGGAAATGAATGACCTCTACAATTAAAATGACCAAAAAAGGAATAAATAGAAGAAACACACAAAATGTAATGACCTCCCATGTTCATAGATTGCAAGAATTAATGTTGTTAAAAATGTCCATACAGGGCTGTGGCTATGGCTCAGCAGTAGTGCACTTGCCTTACATGTGTGAGGCACTGGGTTAGATTCTCAGCACCACATATAAATAAATAAATAAAGGTCTATCAACAACTTAAAAAAAATGTCCATACAACTTCAAAGTGATTTACAGATTAAATAACATTCCTATCAAAATACTAATAATATGCTTCTCAGAAATAGAAAAAACAATTCTAAAATTTATATGAAAGCACAAAAACTCCAAATAACTAAAGTAATGTTGAACAAAAGGAACAGCCAGCTAGAGGCCTTGCAACATCTGATCTCAAGACATATTATGAAGCTAAAGTAACCAAAGCGGCATAGTACTGGCCTAAAAACTAAAACATTGATCTGTGGAATGGAATATAGAAATCTTGGAAATAAAACCAAATATCTGCAGTCAACTGATTCCAGGCAAAGGTGCAAAACAAAAAAACAAAAACATAATGAAGAAAGGACAGCCTAGTCGATGAATGGTGCTGGAAAATGGGATATCCATATGCAGAAGAATGAAATTTGACCTCCCTCTCTCATCATATGCATATCTCAACTCATGTGGCATCAAAGATCTAACTATAAGAATAGAAACTACAAAATTACATTAATATAGGCACTGATTTTAAAAATAATACCCCAAAAGTGAAGGCAACAAAAGCAAAAATAGACAAATGGTATTACATCAAATTAAGAAGCTGCTGTGTGGCAAACCAAATAATCAACGGAGTGAAGAGATAACCTACAGAATGGGAGAAAATACTTACAAACTATTAATATAACAGGAGATTAATACCTAGAATACATACAGAACTCAAAAAATGCAACAACAGGTAACAAATTAATTTTTTTTAAAAAATGGGCAAATTATCTGAATTGATATTTTGCAAAAGAAGGAATAAAAATAGCTTGGTTATAAGTACACACACAAAAAGTTCAACATTACTAGCTATCATAGAAATGCAAATTATAATCACAATGAGATAATATCTCACGTCAGTCAGAATGACTATTACCAAAAAAAAAAAAATCAAAAAAAATAACACTTTAGAGAGAATGTGGCAAAAGAGGAACTCTGTTTTTTTTTCTACTAGTAGAAATATAAATTAGTATAGCCATTGTGGTTAGCAGTGTATAGATTCCTCAGAAACCCAAAAATAGGTCTACCATGTGATGCAGTTATCCAGCTTCTGAGTGTATATTAAAAGAAAATGAAATCAGTCTATCAAAGAGATACCTGTACTCCTATGTTTCTTGTAGTACTATTGACAGTAATGAAGACATGGAATTAATCCAAGTGTCAATCCATGAGTGAATGAATAAAGAAAATATGGTGTATGTACACAATGGAATGTTATTGTTTTAGTCATCTTTCTCACTGTTGTGACCAAAAGACCTGTCAAGAATAATCAAAGAAAGAAAAGTTTATTTGGAGGCTCACAAAGTTTCAGAGGTCTCAGTCCATAGACAGTTGGCTCTTTTGTTCTAGGCAGAAAATATGGCAAAACATCATGGCAGAAAAGAGTAGTGGAGAAAAGTGACTCAGGACATCACACCAGACAGCAGAGAGATATTCCCTTCACCACAAACTATACCCCCAAGTCACACCCCCAGTGACTGGCTTACTCCAGCCACACCCAGCTTTCTTATAGTTACCATCCAGTTAATCCCTATCAGAAGATTAATGCATTATGTTAAACCTTTCATAACTCAAATCATTTCACCTCTCAACTTTCTTGCATTGTCCCACATGTGAGCTTCTGGGGAACACCTAATATTTAAACCATAACAGTTATTCAGCCATAAAAAGAAAAAAATCATTGAGGTTCTTCACTTTATAAATAATATTTTTCCATCAAATTTAGGAAGTTTTTAGCCATTATTTTTAAAATGATTTTCTGTTCCTTTCTTTCCTCACTTTTTGATACTACCATTATGCATATGTTGATGTGATTAATGATATTCTAAGACAGTCCTTCATTCTTTATCTATGTTGTTACAATAATCATCTTCTTGTATTTCCAGCATCAGTCACTGAAAAAATCTCAATTTTCTCTGTTAAATGAAGTCATATTTGTGATCTGAAACATTACTTTACACACATCACTCCCAATTTGAAAGCTTCTTATAACTCTTCATTTTCTATATTGAGATTCAGTTGTATAGATTGCCAGATAGATAGTCCCTTAAGACTATAGATAGTCCCTTAAGACTAATCGTTTAATCCAGCAAAACTTACTATTCATAAAGCTGGAGTTTTAATTTCAACTTCTATTATACTTTCTTATCACCCATTTGCTTCTGGTACCTAATATTATAATTTTAATACTTATTTTGTTTAATCTATGTATTCTAAGCAGTTGAGAGTTTAGTTATCTCTACTATTATTTAATACTCAGCATAAGGTATACCAACAGGTAGAATTGTGGTTAATGTTATTTTATGCAATATGACACTTAAGCATGTTTTAATTACTAGCAATGAATATAATCAAAACAGGAAACCTTACCCAAAATACATTGTTGGAGTTGGAAATTGAAGTAATATACTAATTAAATACTTATGTAATTAATCTTTCCTATTGAAATTAGTTGATGATACTGATGCATTTTGATTGAAAAACAATATTTGGTGTACATTTATAAACAACTGCAGATATCCTGTTTTGTTCAATTAATGACTTGGTAATTTAGAGAAGTAGTAGATGAAAACAAATATATGGGTCCTTCTCCATTCCTATTTCATTATCAAAACCAGTAATCTGCCAACCATTTGTTCTTAAGACCACTGTTCAGAGTAAATCTCTGGCCAAAATCTATCACCTTATAAAATTTCATGATCTACATACAATGTCTGCAATTACATTTTATGTATAATACAGATACTTACCTTTTTTAAACACAGTGAATAGTTATGATCAATTTTATATTATTGGTTGCTTGTTATACTTGACATGGGATACAAAGATTAAAAAAAAATTTCAGAAAACTTGCCATGGGGAGAAGAATGGCTTGTTGCATGCTGATTCTTTGCCTCTTAAATTAGTTGAATAAATTATCTTGGCTTTCCATTTGGATTTGTCTGTGCCATTCTTAAAGTATACTGGAAATTTAAAAATATATGCATGTATAAGAGTTTCTGTATAAGAGTTATGCCTTTCTGTATAAGAGTTATGTCTATAAATAATGTAATACAAAAATAAATCAGGGCAATTATTGAAAATAAAAAGCAAATTTAGCATTCCAAAAAATATGTCAAATTTCTCAAAATGAGGCATAAATTAAACCAAGACAATAATTAGAAAGATAAGTATGTTGTATGCATATGCTGCTTTTATTTTGATTCATAGTCTAAGTGACATAATTATTTCCATATAAGAAACTATTATTTTGTTTTGTATAAATAAAATACATCATTTATATATTTTTAAATTATGAAATATGTCTTCTACATTTATTATCTAGTAGACTTTTCTTTACATGAATTTGATTGAAATGGGATGATTTTGAATATCATATACTTTACAGTGAAAATCTTTCAGTATATGAAGGGAGTTTGCTTATATTAGAAATAGAATACAAGACACTAGTATTGCTGTATGTATAAATGTGGCTGAATAACCAATATGATCCTGCAATCTGTACACATGGAAAAATAAGAATTCATACCCCATTTGAATCAAATGTATGATAGTCAAGATCATTATATTGTCTTGAGCAACCAATAAAAAAATAAAATAAAATAAAAAGAAATAGAACATTGGGCCCAGAGTACATTTTTATAGTAAGACATTTCATTTTTTGGATAAGTACATGTGTTTGTGTCTTCAGTTCTAAACTTACTTATGTAATATTCAAGCATGGTAAATTAAAATAACTTGATAAGAAACTAGTTTCATATCTTCAGAATTTTATAAAGTAACAATAGTTGGATAACTTAATAAATAACTGTTGATTTTGTAGAAGTCAGTTGTTACAATCTAAAAGTTATTTACAAGTTTAATAGAAATATTAGGCTATATAGACTTCTTTATTGAATTATGATGAACATGCAGTTATATATTATTCACTTTTCTTTATATACCATTAAGTAAAATTTTTAAATTCTTATGGTTGAATAAAGTTTAAATTACTTTTAATAAGATTTTTTTTTGTTTCCTTAGGAAAAAGTCAAAGAGAAGGAAGAAAATCTGAATCTTGTAAACCAATTCTTAAAGTAGAATACAAGACCTGCAGAAACAGGTATACATTTTTGCTTTGAGGAATATGGGAATATATATAAGGAACAGAGAAAAGAAATGCAGATAACCTTTTATGTCAATGTATTATTTAAAGTTATACATAATTACATATATAGTAATGGGCTAAATCCTTTACATAAATAAAAAATGATGTGGTTTAGAAGGCATATCTATGATTATCATTATTATTAATCATAATAAGTATTAGTTATTTAAAAATCATGAGTATTTATGATAATTATATACATTAATTTTAATAATTGAGGACTTTTTCATGAAAATTGCAATTAACAATATTTATAATCAAAAGCTATACACAGACTGATATTGTTTACAAAAGTAAACATAACCAGACCTCTGAACTTTATGATTTTGAATTTGGAAAGATTATATAGACTGGGAAGGATAGTTACAAGTATTGCCATAATTAACAAGTATCAAATTTTAAGATATAGAAGATAAAAGAATAATATTTAACAAAATTTGACTTTATATTTATAGCAGCTATATCCTATACTTCAGCAGTTTGTCGTTTAGTTGAAATAGTCAATAATGACAGTATTCTTACCAAATACTAACATAATTAACTTTTCCTAAACACTGTCTTAACTGTAAATTAGATAATCATACTTTATATTGGATATATGATCACATTAGAATTCTTATAGCATCATAAATCTATTTCGTGTTTTTATACCTATTTTCAAGTTTTAATAGTATAAAATCATGATATTTTACAGCAATTACTTTTTAAAATTTTTTATTAGTTTTAGTTATATATGAAAATGAAAGTAGAATATTACATAACATAATTATAAAACCATAGAATTTAATTTGTTCTAATTCAGTTCCTAGTACTTCCCCTTCCTTTCCCTTCCTCACACCTCTGTTCCCTTCCCTCTAGACTCTACTGATCTTTCTCTCATTTACTAATTTTTTTTCTTAAATTAGTTTCTTGTAGACATGAGATTTGCTGTGGTATAGTCATATATGTACATAGGAAGGTTAGGTCAGATTCATTCCATTGACGTTTTCTATTCCATCCCTCCTCCCTTTCTTTCATTCCCCTTTATATAATCCTCAGATTTTACTTCTCTACTTCTCTTCTTTTTGGATTACCTTTTGCCTTTAACTTTCAGGGATTGCTATTCCACTTGCTATTTCACTTAGCATGATGGTCTCCAGTTCCATCAATTTACCAGCAAATACCATAAAGTCATAAAAAGTTAAAAATCTGAGTAATACTCCATTGTGTATATATACCCCAATCTATTGAAGGGCACTAACCATTATGAATTGTGCTGCTATAAACATTGATGTGGCTGCATCACTGTAGTATGCTGACTTTAATTCCTTTGAATATATACCAGAGGGTGAGATAGCTGGATCGTATGGTGGTTCCATTCCTAATTTGTTGAGAAATCTCCATACTGCTTTCCCAGAGTGGTTGTATTAATGTGCAGTCCCACCAACAATGTATGAGTGTACCCTTTCCCCACATTCTTGCCAACATGTATTGTTACTAGTATTCTTTTTGAGGTTGTTCTTTTTAGATATACATGACAGTAGAGTATATTTTGACATATTATACATATATGGAGTATAAATTCCCATTCAGTGGTCATACATGATATGGAATTACACTGGTTGTGTATTCATGTATGAACATAGGAAAGTCACGTCTGATTCATTCTACTGTCTTTGCTATTCCTATTCTCCCTCTTTTCACTTCATTCACCTTTGTCTAACCCACTCCAATACCCTTCTTATTGTGTGTTAGCATCCACATATCAGAGTGAACATTCAACTTTAATTTGGGGGGATTGGCTTATTTCACTTAGCATGATAGTCTCCAGTTCATCCATTTACTGGTAAATGCTGTAAGTTCAGTCTTCTTTATGGCTGAGTAATATTCCAGTGTGTGTGTATATATACTACATTTTCTCTATTCATTCATCTGTTGAAGGGCATCTAACTTAGTTATTGTGAATTGAGTGCTATAAACATTGTTGGGCTACATCACTGTAGTAAGCTGATTTTAAGTCCTTTGTATATATATTGAGGAGTGGCATAATGGGTCAAATGGTGATTGCATTCCAGTTTTCTGAGGAATCTCCATACTGCTTTCCATAGTGATTGCACCAATTTGCAGTCCCATCAGCAATGCATGAGTTTACCTTTTTCCCCCACATCCTCACCAACACTTATTGTTACTTTTATTCTTGATAATTGCCATTCTGACCGGAGTGAGATGGAATCTCAGTATGGTTTTAATTTGCATTTCTCTAATTGCTAGAGACGTTAAAAATTTTTTTACATATTTGTTGAACATTTGTATTTGTTCTTTTGAAAAGTGACTGTTTAGTTTCTTTATTGATTGGGTTATTTGTTTTTCTTGGTGTTAGATTTCTGAGCTCTTTGTATATCCTGGATACTAATGCCCTATCTGAGGAGTAAGTAGCAAAGATATACCCCCATTTTGTAGGCTTTCTGTCCATGCTCTTGATTGTTTCCATTGCTGTAAAGAAGCTTTTTAATTTGATGCCATCCCATTTATTGACTTTTAATTTTGCTTCTTAAGCTTTAGGAATCTTATTAAGGAAGTCAGTTCCTAAGCCAACATGTTGGTAAATTGGGCTTATATTTTCTTCTAGCAGGTGCCAGGTTTCTGGTCTAATTTCTAGATTTTTGATCCACTTTGAGGTGAATTTTGTGCAGGGTAAGAGAGAGGGGTTCAATTGCATTCTAATACATATGGATTTCCAGTTTTCCCAGTACCATTTGATAAAGAGGTTATCATTTCTTTAACATATGTTTTTGGCACATTTGTGTTGTATGAGTAACTACTTATATGGGGTTTTCTCTGTGTCTTCTTGTCTATTCCATTGATCTTCATGACTATTTTGATGCCAATACCATGTTGTTTTTGGTACCATCTCACTGTAGTATAACTTGAAGTCCCATATTGTGATGCCTCTTGCTTTACTTTGCTCTACAAGGATTGCTTTGACTATTCTGGGCCTCTTATTTTTCAAAATGAATTTCATGACTTCTCTTCCTGTTTCTATGAAGACCATTATTGTAATTTTGATGGAAATTGCATTGAATCTGTACAGTGTTTTTGGTAATATAGCCATTTTGACAATATTAATTCTGTCTATCTAAGATCGTTGGAGGTCTTTTCATCTTCTAAGTTCTTATTCAATTTCTTTCTTTAGTGTTCTGTAATTTTCATTGTAGAGGTCCTTCACCTCTTTTGCTAGATTGTTTCCAAATATTTTAGTTTTTGATGATATTGTGAATGGGATAGTTTTCCTTATTTCTTTTTCGCCAGATTCATCATTGGAGCATAGGAACATGATTGATTTATAGGTGTTGACTTTGTATTCTGCTATTTTACTGAATTCATTTAAAGGTCTAGATGTCCTCTAGTGGAATTTGAGTCTCCTAAATATAGGATCATGTCATTGGCAAACAGAGGTAGTTTGAGTTTTTCCTATTCATATTCCTTTAATTTCCTTCTCTTGACTAATTGCTCTGGCTAGAGTTTCAAGGACTCTGTTGAATAGCAGTGTTAAAAATTGGCATCCTTGTGTTATTCCTGTTTTTAAAAGAAATGTTTTCATATTTTTCTCCTCTCAGAATAATCTTGGGTTTGTCATATGTAGCCTTTACAATGTTAAGATAATTTCCTTATATCACTAGTTTTTTTGTTGTTTTAAACATGAATGGGTGCTGTACTTTTGTCAAGTGCTTTTTCTGAATATATTGAGTTAATCATATGAAGAAGTTACTTTGAATATGCATTCATATTTTTTAGACTTATCTAATGTTAGTCTGTATAAAAATAACTGCAGTTTAATACCATTCCTTACTGAAGTAATAAAATATTCCAAATTTAATCATTGAAGATGACATAAAATACATTGAAACTGTTCTTCTCTTCTATTTTTTTCTTTTTATTATTAACATTTATTGTACAGATTCGTGAGTTTCACTTTGACTTTTTCATAAATGCATATATGGTGTTTTGGTTGTGTCCACCTTTCCTTTCCCTTACTCCTCTCACCCATCCTTTTGTCTTCTTTCTCTAATAGTCCCTCTTCTACTTCCAAGTCATTCATATATATGTGAATATATACATATATATACAGATATAAATACACATATATACACATGTACACATACATATATCTGTGTATTATGTGTATGTATATGCAATATTTTTTATGAGAGAAAACCTGTGATACTCATCATTCTGTGTCTGGATTATTTTGCTTAACATGATGTCCTCCTTCCATCTGTTTTCCTGGAAATGTCATGATTTCATTATTATTTATAGCTGAGTAATATTTCATTGTGTATCTATATATAGTATTCTGTAATGCCTTCATCTATTGATAGGTACCTAGGCTAATTCCATAATTTTGGATTGTGAACTGTACTACAATCAAAATGGGTGTACAGGTATCCCTTTAGTGTTCTGTAATAAAGGGATACTCACTTTATTTCTTTTGAGTAAAAACCAAGAAATAGTATAGATAGATCAAGTGATGTTTCTTTTTTCTTTATTTTTTAAGGAAATTCTCTCTATATTTTTCCACAGTGTGTGTGCTAATTTACATTCCCACCAACAGTATATATAAAATGTTCCTTTATCCCCATCCTTGCCAGCATTTATTTTTTTTTAATTTTTTTTATTGGTTGTTCACAACATTACAAAGCTCTTGACATATCATATTTCATACATTAGAT